AAGTTCTTTAACAGCAACCCAGCTGCTCAAGATGGTTCTGCAGAAGCTGTCGCTTCGCAGGATCCTTTGTCGTATCCACAACAACCCGGAAGGGAGAGTCCAGATTAAAGCAGACGCGCTTCTCCACCCGCGGGTTCAAATGTCGAAACGCCTGCGTAGCTACTGGATTGAAGACTTGTCGATCCCATTCCAGATAGTGGGCTCTGACTTTGCTCTCCTCCTGGTCTCTGAATGCGTTCAGCTGCACGGCTGCCTCGTAGTCCGGCCCATTAGTCGTCATTGCCTGGCAGGGAGGGCTGAAAGTTCTTGCAAGGCGGGTCAGGACCTACAGCAAAAAAAGTTCATTGTCTCCTACACTGAGGTTTTGGTGCTCAGGCACACAGACCGGCCTGCACAAGCCGCTTCAGGCGGGCCTCGCGCTCATCCTTGCGGCGGTCAACCATGTACTGGATGCGCCTTTGGTCACGGTCACGAAGCGCCTGTGTTTTCTTCCTTCGGGCCAAGAGACCGCGCTTTGCCTGCTGCTGCTTTTCGCTCGGCCCCCAGTTCCGAGGCTCCCAAAGCTCTGGCTCAGATTGTTTCTCTGATTCTGTGCATAGCCAGCTGGGCACTGTGTGCGGTCGAGCCAAGGCTGCCGAAGATGCACGGAACTGGTCCAGCACTGGGTCGGAAGTGACCCGCCTTAGGCGTCCACCACCTGGCTGCGGCCCTTCTCGTGGGAGGCGGCAGAAAGGCAGCTTAAAACTCTCCCTGAAGCGGCCTTCAGTGCTCAGCCCCAAGCATGGGGCAGAAACAGACCTCGCGAGGCCATCTTCATACGAGAACTGGGAGAGTCTCGAGTCCATCTGCGGCATGTGACGGGGCCAGGGCCTTCCTTTGAGCCCGCAGCCCTTGGCCATGCAAGATTACCTGGACACAAGCTCCAGTCACAAGTCTACAGTAGCAACTGTTCTGGCTGCCAGCGCGGCCTCTAAATCGCTCGGCCAGTCCACCGACGGATCAAATCCTCATCTGGGTGGAGTGGCTTTTTGAAACTATGGGCACCCTTGGGGATGTCTAAGCTACACCATAAACATTGAGATTCTTTTTAGAAGGGTCTCCAAGATGCCCCGCTGATGAAAAACAAGCTCAAAACGCAAAACTCTGTCTCCTAAAGGACTAGAAGCAAGGCTTTAGGGGGCATACACGACCAATACTTGTATGCGAAGTATAGGATGAGACCCTCTTGATACATAGACAGACTCCGATACAAGCCGACCCAAGCCCGCAGCTTGCGATGCTCGAACTGACCCATCTCAACTTGCCCGGGACATCAGCGCCCTGAAAGGGTCGACTCAAGTTGCCAACAACAAGAACATTCTGAGATGATAATTGTGAATCCAATTATCAGACACACTCGTAGGTCTGCAAGTCCAACTCAGCGACATTGTTGGGCTCAAAAGGTTTAAAGATGCAGCAAGTCATGTCATGCATGTGGGCTCAGCATGTGCATACGTGCCTCCAAAGCGAAGGGCACTAACTCCTGCCACAGCGCAAAACAAGAAACTAAAATCGTGCATGTGCACTGCATGACACTTCTTTGACTCACGGGAATCTAGATGAAATTCGACTACAGTAGGGCCCTTGCTGAACTTTTGCTGTAGTCAAGGATATGGACCCCCTTCCTTGCAAGACGCAGGCACCACCAGCAGCTCCTCGGGGGGAGGTCCATCGCCTAAATCCGCGCCCAAGGGCAGAACCTCAGAAAAGGAATCTACTACGTAGCGCAGACCCTAGGTTGACTGCTTCTGCAGGGCTCAAATGGACTGTTCCTGCAAGGCCCGAATGGTAATATATCTAGTGTCATCCATGTCACAGGAAAGGCCGTGATGAATCAGCGTGCTCTGCTTGAAGCGATTTGAGACAAGCGACATTGTGTTCCTTTGCCTGGCTTCCTCTTTTTGGCAGCAGGATGAGGCGACTATGAATCTTTGCGCCTCTTGCCGCGCAAGTCAGTGAGGCACTGCTGTCCACACCGCTTCAGTCTGACCAGTGGATGGACTTTGTGTTCCGCTCCACAGGCTAAGAAGTTGCAAGCTCCTGCCATGGGGTGAACCCAATGGCATAGCCGAGTCGGCCGAGTCGTTTGCAAATTTGTCCGTGCAGGAATGCAAGATTCCGCCAGCCGCAACGAGGCAAGTGCAGCAGCTCTCTGAAAAGCGAGCTTCTTGTGTTTCGACCGACGGCCTATACAGCTTGCAACCATACAGACTTGCCCGCCTCTGTGTGGCAAACAAAGCAACTACAGCGACAGATAAAACAGCTGGGGTTTCTCTCAAAGCCGTGGTCTTTTTGCGGGATCCCTGTTGCACGGGTTTCACTCATCCGTGCGTACAGCGCAATGAGTCTGTAAGGTTGCCTGTAAGTATGCAGTGCAGAAGCATGCGCGTGACTGGCCACTGATTGTTGTGGTCCGATCTCAACGAATGCCTCCACAGCATCAACCAGCGAATTCTTTGACAATATCTCAAAACTAAATGGCCTGAAATCAGGCCTCTATGGCTGAAAAAGATAATCCTGTCCCTGGACAATCGATGAGTTGAAGCGCCCGATATTCGGGAACACTGCGCTCAGGACGTCTGGGGAGCTGGTGTCCAATCCCATCCACTCTGCCTAAGTCCCCCGCGGGTTCTTAGAAAGAAAATTCCTTACGATGAGGCGCTCAACCAGCAATCAGACCACAAGAAATGGTTTCTGCTTGGAGTATCAAAGGACTATGCATGGGTGCGGGCTTAGCCAAACACATTTATCTGAAAACTCTTAGAAACCCAGTCACAATAGGCTTCAGCATCGTCTCCCAAGGGTAGTCGGGGATCAGCCGTCCTCGGCCCAAATCCTCGGCCATTCAAGTCAACATGACAAGCATGATCATGTGGGGCGCTGGGTTCTCAAGAAAGGCTACCGGGCAAGGCCTTTTCTTAATGTTGCCCAAACGATGGAAGATCAAATGGAAAAGAACATGCAAAATTGAATGGAAACTGTGGCTTTACAGGGACTTAAACCAAAAAACAAGATGGGGCTCACAGCTTTGAGAAGCACCCAGATGCAGGTCCCTACAGGTCCAAAACTTGAGCCCTGCATCTTAAACCCAAATCCTAAATCCCTGAATCTTACACCCTCAACCGCATCACCCCTAAACCCTAAACCCTGAACTGTAAACCCTGAAAGCATCATACCAGGCTCATTGTAAGCGCCCTCCTTGAGGCTGGAGGGGAAGGAGTTGAGCATCTGCCCTCCCTTGACCTTCAGGTTTAGGGTGTTTTAAAGTTTTATGGTTTAGGGGTTTTAGGGCTTTAGGATTTTGAGGACGGATAGGTTTGCGATCAGTACTTTGAAAGACCCGCAAAAGGGTTCATAAGGATGGTCCGTTACGCCACAATAGGGGAAACAATTAATTGTCCGAAAGTGCCGCCTAGGTTTTTGGGCATTTACGGCTTCTGAGGTATTGTTTATGGTTTTGAATACCATCATCCTTCGGAGCCGTTTCACTTTTGAAAAGCATTGCTGAGAACACAGGGAAACCAAACAGCTCCACCTAAGAGCCCACGGAGCACCCATTTTTGCCTCATTCCAGTAGGTGTGATCCTTCGTCCAAGCCTTTAAAACCTGAAAGCATCCAAAATACCGTGGCATTGATGCTCTGATTGCTCTGAAGCACTCCCGAGAGGACATTCAAAAAAACTCAAAAAAAACAGGTTTGAGCTCGTCTTCAGTCTATCCTGAAGCACCAAACCCACTACTCGGCTCGGAGTTACCTTCAAATCATGGCCATGGTTCGAAGCTTCCTTTAATAAAGATCCAGATCTTTTGTAGGGGAGGTGCAGCGCGCGGGTATTTTGGCACATACTGCAAGTTTCTCAACAACGGGGGCCCCTGTATGTCAGCCAGCTTAACACAGAAATCAGAACTACAGGGAACCCAAGATGAGCCCATCGTTCTGTGAACCTCTCTGCCATACCCAGTTGAGGGGGTAAGAAAATCGAATGCTGAAAACTAGGAGAAGAATGCATTCGGAACCAGAACATCCTTCTTTAACAATACTGCTCATTTGAGAGCTTCCAAATAAAATACGTCAGGGTCCGACTCCCCAAAATGCAGACCTAATTAACTACCCTAGCCCTAATTACCCGCTGGAAACCATCACTTGTGGCCCAGCGGCCTTACCACCGATAATGAAGTGTTGTCCAGCCCAGGCGTGGTCACTACCGCCGCCATTGGAGTCCAGCGTGCGCGCAAACTCCGAAGAGCTTGCCTGAAAGAAGATTGGGGGGTGCCGGGTTGAGGCTTGGTGGAAATGCAGGGCTTTGGATTCAAGATTTGTGGCTTGGGTTTTATAGGGTTAAGTTTGGGACTTGGGGCTTCGCTTCTAGGATTGGGTGTAGGCATTCGGCCGCACAGGGGCCATGTGTCTGGGTGATTCTGTCTCATGCAGCTGTCAGCTGAGGCCCCCACTAGCACCACGTTGTCCCACGCGTTCTGCGCCTTCATCTCCGCCACAAAGCCCTCCACAGCTCGATTGATCTCTCCAAACCTCCAGGGCAAAGTGTGAAGATTAGACCCTTTTCTGGACCATTCGAGAACACCACTGAGGTGGATGCATGTGTGTGGGCCAAGGATTCGGGAACCACCTCGTAGACTCTACGTCGTAGACTCTGCCCCTTGGATTCTAAGCCAAGATCCGAAGTCCGAACCAAGCCCCAAGGGGGAAGCATGCAGCCCCCATAGCATCCATAACTTACTGGTTGTTCGTAGGGACTTGAGGAGTGGAACAATATAGCTGCTTCCATGTTCTTTTCTATACTTTCATTGCCCACGAGCAACCACTACGTCCAACAAGCAGGAGCGAGGATTCAGGGTCTCTATATAACCCCATCCTATTTTCCATTATCCCTATATCACCCCATTATACTAGGGTAGTTTCCATTTTATTTTCCATTATTCCTAAAGCCCAATAGGGTTCATGGTCCGCGGATGTCCTCAGATATCGTCTTGCCTCGAGGTGAGGCCGTTGAGGAGGTTGGAATGCATGTCCCAGCCACCAATCCTGAACGGATCAGTAGATATAGGGGTTTCCCAAAATTAGGGGTACCCTTTTAGGGGTCCCAAAGATAAGGACTATAGTATTTTGGAGTCTATATTTGGGTCCCCTTATTTTGGGAAACTACCATATAGGAGCCATAGTCTAAACTCCTAGTATCCTGCTTAATAAACTATAGGAGTCCCCTGAGAATCCTCCCTTGCCTGAAGGGGTCACGGGGGATTTTAGATTCCCAATGTCAGAGACTTTATAAGCCCACGGCAGGATCCTATCCAAATGAGTTTTTGCGGGTACCTTGTGTTGCCATGAAACGCAAAATCCAAAACCATGTGAGCTACAGTCTAAACTCCTAGTATCCCCCTTAATGACCCCAGTAGTAGTCCCCTATACAACCCCGTTTGGAGTTTAGACTTGGCTATGATCTTTTGAACCGGGTGGCCGCACGAAAAAGAAGTCGCGCTCGGCCTTGCGAACCTGAGCAGAGCATAGTAGCAGCCCATCCCCATAGTCTACGATGCTGCCAGCGCTACCCCTTGTTAATAGTAATATTGTAGTATAGTAATATATTAGTTGTATAATACTCTAATACTAGTAGCAGCGCAATAGCAATAGTGATAGTAACATAGTAAGTGGAATAGTAATAGGAATGCTAATAGTAATCTAGTAGTAGTAAGAATAGCTGTCCATGCGAGTTGGAAAGCTGCTTTTGTGCCCTCCATCTTCTTGAAGAAAGATACCCACCCAGCTTGTGATACGTATCCTTACTGAGCCTAAACCCTAAACCCTAGTAGAACCCTTAAGATTCAAAGCTTCTCCCGCCTCACGCACGCGGATGAGCTTCGCCACTTGTGAGAGCTGCTTCTCCAGGCTCGAGGAAGTCGAGTAGGCCGTGGCAAGCTCCACATCCTCTCACCCCTAAACCCTAAACCCTTATCCACAGGGGTTGGTAGGATTGGGTTCCAAGGTTGAAACCATAGGCCCCTAATATGGGCCCTTAACCCTGAAATCCTTATTTACTGGTGCTACGTAGTTTTGAGTGTTTTGGGTTGGGGTTTAGGGTTTAAAATGTTTTTGGGTCTAGGGGTGCGACCTTACAGTCCAAACTAAAGCTTGTAGGAAGTACTTCTTATCATCAGAAAATCAACCCTATGCAACTGTCGACAGATGCAGTGCTCACAAGGGGATTACTCATGGATCTTGTATGGCATTGGTTTATAGGGTTTAAGGTCTGTAGCAAAACCAACCATCATGGCACTTATTTCATGGGTCCCCTACTACCCCCTGGCTATATTACCTCCCCTAGGTTCTCCCTTGACTTATTTTGCGTAGGGAAAATTAAGCCGAATTAGGTGTAAAGGAGGTGTAAATTGCTACAAGCAATATTCTTACCAGCCCTAAACCTGTATATAGCAATTCCCGAATAGGGGGACTGCAATTTGGGTGCGTTTTCCATTTGCTTTCCATTGGATGCTCCATTATCGGGTTGCTATACGCTAAACCCTCTTTAAGCCATATATACCCCTACTATATAGCCTCTATCACCCAAGTAATCCTAAGCCCGAACTAAACCCTAATCCTTAAACCCTAAGCCTTGAACCCTAGACCCTTAGCCTTAACCCTTAGCCCTGAACCCTAATCTAGGGAATTTAGGAGGGACCCCTAATAGGGACCCTTAATCCCATTACCATATATAACCTTTATATAGTCATTATATAACCCCTATATCTCTAGGTAGTCCCATATTAATCCCCATAAGCTACAAGGGTCCCTATTAGGGGTCCCTCCAAAAGTCCTTAGACCTAAACCCTAAACCCTAAACCCTAAACCCTAAATCCTAAACCCTAAACCCTAAACCCATTTGGCTCCTACAATACATCGGCTCCTCGATGGCTCGTCCCAGCTCCTCAGTGGACTTGATGGAATCCAGGAAGACCTCCGGCACATCCGACGGACCAAAGGCTCAGTGTCTAGGCTTTAGGGCTTGGGCATTTAAGGGTAATATAGAGAGAGAGAGAGAGAGAGATGACATAGAGATGATATGAAGACTATGTAGGGGTTGTATAGGGTACATGTAGGGATGCTTTAGGGATTATGTAGGTATTTCTAGGGCTCAGTTTGGGTATTATCCCAGTAAAGGAGAATCCATTAACTGGGATAATGTAATATGTTTGTAGGATGTAGCGCTGATGCTAAAACACCTGCATGACAACAGTACTTCTTGTATCAACAATGGATCAGATCCTAATATGAGTTTGATACATGTGGGGTTCCGAGGCTATGTATGTTGGGAAACATGATAACCGGTCAGCCTAGAACTGCCTAAATCGTCTCAAGAGTCCAGCTGTACATAAGTTGCAGGTTGCAGGTGCATATCAGCCTGAACAACGAGCACTCCGGGTAGCGGACGAGGCTCGGGATGTAGATTCAGAATGCTAGAGTTCATTACGAAATGTTAGGGGCTTAGGATCAAGTGTGGTGCTGGGCTCCAGGTAAAGAACTAGGATTGAGGGCTGCGTCAGCTTGTGGCCAACCGCTTCTTTAGGAGTAAACACAGCAGCCCAACCCAGGCGTGGTAGGTACATGCGCCACCGAATGACCCATAACAGCAATCTTTAGCCGCAAAGTTCGGAAGGGTGCCAGTGAGACCTGTGTGTACTGCTCGTTGAAGACATTGGCGTGCTGCTGACGGGTGAGGTTGGAGATGGCATCGCGCCAGAACTCGAATTCGTGGAACCGATCATTGCCCCGCTCATCCACGATCTGCCTGACAGCTCCATTGTCTATCCCTTCAGAGTAGCTCTACTGCATCCTCCGTTATAATGCCTGTGATCGCAAATCATCCTTGCATAGATTCTGCAGCTTGCAGCGGAGAACGATCTTGATAAAGTTGCTGCCTACTTGGTGGGATTATGCCTGGCGCCTGTTGGTGACCACGCCCTGCGCGAAGATAGCGCTGCCTGACCTCAGCGGCTCGATAAAAACCTGTGTAGGGTTTAGGGTTTCTCGGAAAAGTCTGCATGGCTTTTACTCTGGATTGCGCAGGGCTCAGGGACAATACTACTTCAAATTGGTTCCAACTCAGTCCCGCAGACAGCGAAAAGGAAGTTGCCGCAAATGGATCCGCAGCCGCCACCAGAGCATCAGTGATGCGACCACCAGCACCTCCGCATTCTACTTGCAGAGTGTTTTAGTCGGGCCGAAACAAATACACATGGGGGATTGTCAAAATCATGGTCCCTTTATGGGTCCCCTAAATTAGGCCCCGTATTATAAGGGACCCAAAAAGGGACCATAATTTTGACAATCCCCTACATTCATGTTGCAAGGGCATTTCCCCTTTAGTCTCGTCTGAACCTGCCCGAAAGCAGTCGAGGTATCCTAGCAAATGTCGAAGTGTTTGGTAGTTTTTCATACATAGCGGGACCCAATATAGAGCCCAACATACTATAATCCTGAAGACCCCCGAAAGAAGGACCCCCTAATGTTCGGAAACCTTCCCCTTTTTCTTCTAACTAATGAAGCGCCCTTAAGCTCGGGGTCTAAATCCTAAATCCCATGAACCCCACGAACCTCAAACCCCACAACCCCTCAACCCTAAGCCCTATAGACCCTTAGCCTTTTGGCTTTGTGGCGCAACAGGCAGACCCTAAATAGTAGTTTCCATTTTCCATTATCTCATGATCACCCCAGATAAACCCCAATATAGTCTGCAATATAGCCCCAATGAATACCTATCTCCTCTAAAACTAGTTTCCATTTCATGTTCCATTTTCTTTTCCATTTAATTCTCCATTGTTGGGCTAATATCCCTAAACCCTAAACCCCAATATAACCCCAGTATAAACCCTAAACCCTCAACCCTAAACCCTAACTTTCCCGAAAATACTACAAGTCTCTTCCCGGCCTCTGGGGCTATTGCCTTGCACTTGGCATGCCAGCGTCTGAGCCGCGGTCTGCCTAAGGAACTTTTTTAAGGTTTAGGTTGAGTACTGCCCCCACCCAGTAACAGTCTATATTAGGGGTCCTATTGAGGGCGATATATAACCATACTATAATTATTATCCAGCTGTTACTAAGGGGGCAGTACCCAAGGTTTAGGGTTTAAATTGCGAAATTGAGGGTACCTTTAGAGGGGGGTTAGAGGGATTATATAGGGTTGTATAGGGTTATAAATGATTTAGGGCTTCCCCTAAATTATGGGGACGATTTTGGGGGAACCCCATAACAAAGATTATAGTATTTGGGCCGGTATATAAGGAAACGACCATATGCGTTATACAGGGTTATATGGGGATATAGAGGCATATCACCCCTCAATCATGGAGAATTGAATGGAACAGAAGAAAATGGAAAAGGAAGTGGGAACTGGTGTAGCACAAAGCTTTCTAGGGATAATTGATAGTTATCTTTGTGTGCCAAACATTGCGCCACGGGGACTTGAACACAGGTCGCTTGGACGAGGGCAGATTATATAAACCCCCATGAGAACCGCTTTCTATTTCATCTCTGATTCGCTTTTCCAGCTCATTCTCCAAATGTGCGGGTAATGTTGGTGACCGTTTGGCTTTGCTCAACCCATAAATTTCATACATGGTTTTCTCTGCCCAGCAATGGACCACAAAGTGGCACGGCGATTGTGCTGGAGTCAGGCAACACGGCGTGAATGCAAGCGCACAGAGTAGTGCTTGAGCCTGCTTTTCCGTTACTTCTGCAATTAGAGTGCTGTGGTGCAAGCACTTCATGTCTTTAGGGGCACCGGTGCCCCTATTTTCTCGTCTAGTGACGTCACATCGCGGCCGCCAGTGCAAGGTCTTTGGCTTTTGGGATGTGAGTTTTGGAGGTGCAAGCCTAGGGTTTTGGGGGATTAGGCTTTTAGGCTGCCAGCCCTTGTCAAAATAGCTTTCATGTTCAGGGTGTGAAGGGTTCCTGTGCAAGATACAGACACATGAACACAAACCTGTCCCGAATTTTCCGATCCCAGCTGCTGGTCCGAGTGCGAGAACAACCCAACGCACCTCTCCTTCAGATTGTTGCGATACTGGTCCTCGTCACATAGAGCCAAGCATGGATGAGACAAGTGATTATGATTTATGATGGTCGCACTTCTCCAACAGGCTCCGTCGTATTCCAAACTTTGTGCCGTCTGGCCGCTTCTTGCAGCAAAAAGCTTAGGAAGAAGAAACAACACCAGAATGGGAGTGACAGGGGTACCACAAGTTGAAACATCGCGAACCGCGAGTAATCATAGTAGAATGGCATTGGTCCTTGTTCAGAGGCTCCACAAGCGAACCAATGTTCGTCATGAAGGCCAAATCGCCCTCGTCCTGAACTGGAAGGCTATGCAGATGGTAGTTTGCCAAAATTCGGGGTACCGTTGTAGGGGTCCCACTAATAAGGATGATAATGTTTTGGGGTCTATATTGGGGTCCCCTTTTTGAATTAAACTACCAAATTGAGTCATGAATTATCTACACAGGGTTCCATCCCATATCCCGTATCCCTGAACCATATAGATATGCCCAGCTCTGCGGCTGGAAGCCACCTCAACAATGATACTGACTATTGCATTGCAATAACACAACAAGCTGGCGATGACAGCTCTTGAAACCCAAACAAAGTTTGCTCATCAGCACCATTGTAGTAAAAGCGACCAGGCGAATGATTATATCTGAGGTCGCGTCATACAAGGTCTTCAGATAGTCGAAGGAGCCGTGGATGCCAAACTTTTGGCATGGCTGATTCGCAACGTTGATCGCAATCAAATCCTGTGGCGGCTAGCTCATTTTGGGTATCTTGTAAGGCTGGCTAATACAAAAAATGATAAAGTCTTGGCATGCGTTATGCAATAGTAAGTCTTGAGTCCCTGCAAAGGGGTTAAGCAAAAGCTATCCCGCAGCACGGCCGAGAAGCTTCAGGATCAAGATGCAGGTCAGTTCGCACGTCCACATACTCCTGTCAGATGCAGGGAGCCACAAGTTTAGGCTTGAATTGTTGCTATGCGGCATGACCCAAAGCTAAAGACGCGATATCATGATATGGCAGCTTCTGAAACTTGAAGCTTTTATAGGGCATGCGGCCCCTTGTTTCCAGAGATCCATATCAAGTTCCACCCTTGCTTAAGAAGCGGCTGCCTGGTAGAGGTTGCACTCCAACGGGACCAGCCTCAAGCAGTGCAGTACATGAAGAATAAGAACAGGGAGGCTCCAAACTTGCTAAACCATTTCGATCAATTGCTTGGGACTGCGATTGCAATTGAATACTTGCCTACCCCTCCACGTCTAGCAAGAAAAAATCAAGGGAATTCTTATTGAAAGAGACATCTCGCCAAGCAGGCCAAGGCACATGTTCCAGGTGTCAGCACCACCAGCAAGGAATAGGAAGATGGTCGCCTTGCAGGCGGAAGCCGCACGGCTCAGAGTTTCCAGTTCAGAGGCCCCTTCCATGTGTATGTCATCAGTGCTCACAGGGAAACGCCTCCTTTCGGAGGAATAACCCAGGGGCCAAATAAAAACTGGGCCATGTAACAGAAAACCACCCCACAAACCACGATGATTAGTATTCCCACTATTGCGTTGTTGGACTATTTTATGTGCAAGGTTTATCTTGGCGAAGGGATGAACTGTGTTTCTCTTCCTCCTGTTCAGAGTGCTGATCACAAGAGCTATAGTTTAAACAAATACACAAGAAGACGTATTCAGCATGCCCAGGGAACCCATACCCAGTGAAATGACACAACTCGAGAAATATACTCCTAAGTCATAATCGCAAAAAATTCTCTGGCTTCTGAACGCAAACTTCTTGACAAACACACCTTCAGCGAAGTATTGAAGGCAGGTTCGGGAGAGAACAGGTATACAACAAGTATGCACGACGTATGAGCAGTATTATATATATATATGCACGGAATACGTCAAATTCCCACATGGGCCAACTTTTTGGGACTCATGGATTTCCTTGCGATCCCACTCCCATGCTTTCTATACCCTTATACAGCCCATGTCACCCCTTTGAGCTCAACGCTAACCCAGCCAGCCTTGTAGGGTTTCTGGGATCCCGCAGCTGCATCTGCATGTTCCTGTCGCGGCGCCTCGATGGGATAAAGTTATACTGTTCAGAACATAGAACCCAATATAAAAGGCCCAAGCTTTCCTAGACTAACATGGAAATGCACTAGTTAGCTACCCTGTCATCAACACTACCGTCAGCCATCGTATTAGCGGCCTTTTCCTATACACCCCCCTCCTGCATGTGACTGCTATTTCCCCACTGCTTCTACCCCCGGGAGTAGGACTCGGCACCTGATCCGTAATCCTCCCTGGTGGCGCTATCCCTGGCTGCCAAGCTGTTAAATTGCAGCCATCTATACGAAGTTTACGGGTGGGTAGTTTCCAATGTACGCTCACAAGCACTCTCATGAGACGCCGACAACTTATAGAGGAGGGCATGGAATGCCTGATTATAGGAGACTACCCACCTGCAATCTACCCACTTCGACCATGCGATCAATAAGCTCTCAAAAACCAGAGCAAAAGCCTCCTTGGGAAGTGGAGCTCCGAAAGTGTTGAACTCAGGCGTCATCACCACGGCCTGAAGCTGCTAAGCTGCTAGGCCCCTAGGCAAAATGTTTTCAGGGTAGTCATCAGTGACTTGGAACTGTACGTATAACCCAACCATGTTGTAGCTGGGTTACAGTTACAAGGATAACCTTGTCATAAGCCCAAAAATACTATAATCATCCTTATTATGCGGGCATTTTGGGCAACCCCAATATACACCAACATACATCATGGGGCATGCGCATTGAAGCCCAAGCTTGACGGTTTAACCGTGAACAAATTACAGTAAAGGACGACTGTAGTAGCGAACGGGGTAGGGTACCACCACCTCCCCTGCCTCGGATCTAAGTAAGTAGTTTCAGGGTGAAGATATTTTCATGCCAAAAGTACTAAATGATCCCTGAATGCTCCCTTGAATGATCTCGGCAGGGTTTGGTGGGGTGGAGAACCCCTAAACCTTCAAAGGTGCTAGCTTGGGTGGCCTGGAGTGAAATCTCCAGTGCAGAAAACGACGCCCTTTTTGGGGCAGGTCGGGTCGCGGCACTAGAGATGCGCTAGTTCCTAAGCCCTGAACCCCTCAGCCCTGCTGAGCTCCTAGACCCTTAAGACCCTAAGGTGGTTTAAATCCCCAAACGAAACCAGTGATAGTCATACTATCCAAAACACTAATACTTCTAATAACAATGCTAATAATGATAATACTAGTGCTAGCAATGATCAGCAGCTATCTAAATTACTAGGAAACAGCTAAGCAAAAAATCGCTTTGGGGGGGGACATATCGCTTTACAGGTTTTTGCACACTGTTGTCATCCATTTCGGTGGTATCGCTTTTGGTGGGGCGCTATGGCTTTACTAGGGTTTTGCTCATGTCCCTGCATTTTATCTCTGCCTGCTCCTGGCTCCCACACGATAATAAAAGCGGTCGCTCAAGACTACTACTAACAACGATGATAATCCCCAACTCTCAGGAGACCCTGCCTGTTGAGCACGCTCCAGGCGCTGCGCTTCCGGAGCTCGTTTCCAGGCATTGCCTAAAATGCGAAAGACTTTGGCGTTTAGGGTTTAAGGGTGTGGGGTGTAGTGGGTTTTAGTGCTTTAGGGATTTACGGCATTTACAGGTTGTAGGGTCCAAGGCTTACGGATTCAGGAAAGGTGGGACGGGCTAGGGAGGGCAGGATTCATCTTGTAGGTGCCTTCAGCCAGAGATGCTGGCGGGCACTTTGGTGACATGGCATAACGACATGACGTATGAAGGTACCTGGATATTCCAGGATCTTAGGATAACAGGATTACAGACCTATTGTTGAGGGTTTGGATCGGGCATTTGATTTCCAAAAAAAAAGAGCTTGCAGCGGAGGAAACCTTCCGGCACTGACAATATCAACATATAGTCCCCCTTCAGTAGATAGAGTATGGGCAATATGGGGATCTTATTATAATATACCCAAAACCATATTCTATCAACTTAAGGACTGTAATCACTAGCTCTTGAGGCACAATTAACGGAAAGAAACGGGAAACAGCTCTGACGCAAGCATTCGCGCAAGGGTCCTGTTCCTTCTTCTTGCTGTGTTTCACTAATTTCTCCGTAAGCCAATTTGGGGCTTCCCTCTTTGCAAAGCACCATTTGGGATGAGGTCGGATGATAAGGTTGTTATAGATTGCGCAGTGATTTAATGTAGGGAACCTTTATTTATGGGGAATCCCCGGGGTCTACGTGTCGCGGTCAGGAAAGCCCAATCCGCTCGCCATGGACGCCCCAACCCAAAGTACGGAGCCTAAACTCCTGAACCCTTTTGTATTATGATGTATATCCCTAACTCCTGCCGTATGACTTGAAATGACATCCTTCGTACTGAATGCTTACAACCCTAGCTCAATGCTGCCCAGATGCGCACGACCTCTTTGGCGGTGTCTGTGAGGCGGCCACCTATGAAGGTTGCTTGGGGTTCAGGGTTTGGGGTGTGGCGCTTGGGGTTCGGGGCTTTGGTTGAGGGTTTAGTGATGCGCGCTTGTGGGGGGGCCATAAATGTAAGTTTAACGAGAACCCATCGCGGGCATGTCCATAGCTTGGTAGGTTGTGCTGGGAGAGGTTTGGGTCAGCCTACCTGAACAAGATAGCAGCCAGCTAGGTCCTTTGTGGCCCAAATACCCTAAGCCCTTATCAGAAACACTCACAATATATACCCTAAACCCTAGTAGTTTCCATTTTCTTTTCCATTATCCCAATATACCCCCAATATATACCCTAAACCCTATAGTAGTTTCCATTTTCTTTACCATACACACACAGCTTGGCCTGTCAGCAAAATATCGAGCTCCTCAACAGTGGAGTTCTCATCTCCCAGGTCTGCAGCCATGTGTCCTCGAGGGGTAGCAGGCTGAGGTTGCACAAGTGTCCAGCAGCTATCCCTATTCGTAGCACGAATACACTCTGAGAATTTATCGATGCCCCTCCCCCCCCTGTGTCCCATGGGGCAAATTTCTTTCCAGGACAGCTCATCATAGGCATTGGGTCGGATACCAAATCCGCTGCCGCTGTCGCAATTTCCGCTAACTCCACTCCTGCCCAAGAACGTTGCACGATGAAGGTTTCAAACAACGCGTGACGCTTTTATGTAGGATGTTAGCTGTTAGCTAGTGCGTCAGTTCAGGGTCTAGAGGGGGATGGAGAGACCTCTGCATGACTTTTACCGAAAGGACTCAGAAAGAACAACGCGTGTAAAGATCATGCTTTACAATCAGTCTGTAGCCGTACAACAACCTGAAAAAACTCAGTGGATGCTGAAATGTCATGGAATATCCTTTCTCTTTGAAGGCCATCACAGAAAGTTGTGTTGGAATGTCGCACACGCAGAGAGGCAGAGTAAACTTGTAGCCTCGAATTAACCGAAAGACGCGGCGTCTACTGTGGTCATGTTTCATATTTGCTGCTAACGTGTGCTGTCTTGACCCCAGACCCAACACATGGCCAATAATTTGGAGAACCCCCTGCTTGATCAAGGATGACATGCCGTTGAGGAAGCCGATGAAGTGAGGCGGTGTGAAGATCCTTTCTTCATCTTTGACGGGTTTGGGGACTGGAGGGGCTGAGGGGGTTAAGACTTCAGGATGTTGGAGGCTCAGGTGCAACAATTCAGGGGTTCTGGTCTGTTTGGTTGTCAGTCCATGAAATCTCGAACTTGGTGTCTGAAAGGGAGAGAGAGAGAGAGAGAGAACTTTCACAAAGAAGGCATTGTAAATGCTCAGTCGCGGAAAGCAGGATCTCAACACTGGGGTCTTCCTTTCAGGCAGCAAACAATGAGTATCACTTGAGGACATTGACATACGAACGAGCCGAACAAGTAGCAGCACCCAGCACATGCTGAAATGATTAGTGATCTTCATCAGAGCTACTTGTCTTCTTCGCAAAGCAGTTACGGAGGATACCCGCGCAGCACTGTCAAGAACCTTCATTTTGGGGATCATCTCGGTATGTGTCAATGATAGCCTCTTTCATATTATCTGGCGTCGTACTAACATCATCATCGCGGTCATCATCATTGGTCAGACTTTTCGGAGGTCTACAAATGCCTCAAAATCTACCCGCATGAAGGATCTGGGAAGGGCCGCCCTTCGTCCTGAATCCCCTCGTTGTGATCCCTCTTTGGCCTGTAAACCGTAGTACTCCTACTCCTCCTGCCACTAGTCCAGCATCACTGCCACCACAACCACCTCCTCCACCAAGAAATGGTCACCTAAATTCTAAAGAACCCCAAGCCAGAAGAAAAGCAAAAAACAAATGGCCGTCCAGGGTCTGAAACTCCGGGCCCACCAGCTGCTCGGGCTCAGGTTCAGGCTCGGGCCTGGACGCTAGGGGTTTAAGGCATGGGTTTGGGGTTTTGAGTTTAGGAAGTTTGAGGTTTAGGGTACATAGGGTTTAGGGTCTAGAGCATAGCGTTTAGGAGCACAAGTTGCTGTAAGCGAAAGTTTTTTCGGTTTTTCTTTCAGTCTACAATAATATTGGTACGATCTACGGCTGAAGATGTCAGAGCTCTGTGAGCTATCTTGACAACCGTATGATACAGTATGAGTCGAGTATCCGTCTCTTCAAAGGTCTTCAAAGGTCTTGACTAGGAGTACTGGCAAGAAATTTGTGGCGCAGGTGCACTGTGAGCCTATGAGCAGGCATAGGGCCGAAAGACTTTGTAAACTACTGTTCCTGAAAGGGGAAGACAATGAAAACAACAGGGACCCGCATTGCAGTGGAAACCATGGCAACCTGTATGAGACTAGTCTGGGGATTCCTTGGGTATGGCACCCAACCCGTAACAGTCTGGAAAAAGGGTAATTAACAGTAAGGCCTTCCCAGATTCCCATTTATCATATATATATATATGTTCACTTATCTATTTATAATTGAACCGTTACCAACCCTAAACCCTAAACCCTATCATGGATTCCTGATATGGCAGGCTTACAGGGCTCTTGATGCAGCCCCAGAGTCATCGAGCCAGGCCCGCTCGTAGTGGAGCTTGACCCACCCATAGTGGTGGATTCGGATTCCTGAAGGCTTTACGGTGGTTTCAAAATTTCAGGTACCTTTTTGGGGGTTGCTATTATGAGGATTATAAAATATCAGGGTGTATATTGGGGTCCCCCTGTTCTGGGAAACTACCTTATGGTTGCCAGCTCAGGGTCCCATTGTAGTTCCTGTTTAGGAGGGGGGGCTCGAAAAACGTTGGATTTTCTCAAGAGTAGCCCCATAGAGTCCTCAATGGGAGACCGAATACATGCGTTTGTTAATCATGCATTTCTAGAGTACCTTCTGGGCCCCGTGTCTTAGAAACGCCAAATGGGACAAGAACGAAGGACTCCTAGTCTTTTCCGATTTATCCCTGGATCCCCATGTTCTATACCCCTTAACATGTAAGTCGTGCTCTTTGGTGTTTGAACCAGATGAAGATACTTGCTTCAAACATTATACTAGCTACTACGGCCAAAAACTGGAACATGATCTTACTCCATTTTGGACTAAAGCTACATAATCTCTGGACCCTAAAGCCGTAAACCCTCAACTCTAACCAAACCCTGAACACCTCATCCTCAAAGTCTAAACCCCTAAACCCGAAACCCCAATCCGTTAACATTAACCCCTACTCCCTGAACCCCTAGACCCTCAAGTTGAAGCCTGTCGCAGACTTTCGAATGCGGCCCCAGTATCAGGTTCCGGCTCCGGCATTGGCAAGTTGAAGTCCTGTGCACGAGTACCATTGGTTTAGGGTTTAGGGTTTAGGGCTTAGAGTTTCCATTACTATTATTACTACTACTCCTATTTAATCCTGCTATTTAATATTACTACTTGTTTTTTGCTATTTACTACTTTTACAACTAGTACTGTTCTGCTTATCGCGATGATTACTATTGGGTTTAGGGTTGTTGTTCTTATGGAGTTTAGGGTTGGCTGTTCTATAGGTTGTGAAAAGGACATGGCTAGGGTGTTCTGTAGGGTTTTGCATTTAACGTTAGGGTGTGGGATTTTGGGAGGGAGGCAAACCCTGAATATCCTTACACCCTAACGTTGGAGGCTAGGCACCTTCCCGCTCCAACAGTTACGGTGCAGAAAGCTCAAAACACGCGTGCTATTTAGCGCTCCCTTGTTTCTGAGGGCCATGGAGATTTATCTAAAGCAGATGATCTGGATTTTATTCAGACCGGAACACATTCAAGAATGCCTTCGAACACTGGCCGAAACATCGCGAAAGTCTTTAAGCGGCCACAGACTTGGGGCGCTTTGGGATGCGTGTCTGGCGGTATAGCGCGGGATTGGGATTCTGCATTTTCCGCGCTGTGTACACTGCGGTCACCCCTTCTGCGGAGGAATCAGAGTGGACTGCAATATGTATAGTCTTTTAGTGGGGATCCTGTAAGGCTGTACGACAAGGACTGAAGAGGTTCTCTTGCGTGAATGTGTGAGAGTCTCCAAACAATGAGGGGTGCTTTTGGGACGTGATTGCATGAGGAATCTCACACGGGATGTCCGGTTTGATGCGATCATTTTTTAAAGATTGTGCCGATTGGACGTGCCAGGAGGTGGTTAGACTGAAGTTACACAAGGCTGCGTCAAGCGATCTGATGATCTACTCCTACTCTGTGCTTTGGAAAACTTAAAGCCGACCATGAAAACACAAGTATGCCCCGTACATGGCAGATAACGCCAGTGGCAGAAACCCACTTCAAGACTTCCAGCAATTTTCGAAAAGTCGATTGCAACGGCCCTTCTGCTCAGTAGATGTTGGATAACAAGCATGGAAAGTTGCACGAAGCAAGGTCCGTCTATGACCCAATACGAGCGTAGTCCTACCATTTACCAAAAATTTCAAGCAACAATGCTGTCTGAGAATCTGCCAAGTAGAAGTTGAACACGGTTGGCGACTGGAAGGGAAACCTTGGGTACAAGTCCAGGCGCTTGAGGTTTTGGAGGTTCCCCAAGACTAAGTGTACCTTCTTTGGGGGTCCTTATAAGAAGGACCATAGTATTCGGGGATCCATATTGCTTAACAAAGTTCCCCAGTAAGCCGTAAACCCCTAAACCCTAAACTCTAAACCCTGGTCTATATTATTAAGGGCCTGAATCAATAGACCAGGTGGCTGCGGGACCTGCTTTTTTGAAGCCCCATACTTGTATAGTTTGTTTTTAAGCGTATAGTTTTAGGGTTTAGGGTTTACGTGTACATATGCACAAAAGCAGGAAACTGTCAACGTGCAAAAACGCAGGCCCCACAGCCACTTCTTCTGCAATAATTAGGGTACCCCTTTTTCCTACTGGTCAGCTTCAATAAGGAGCCCCCAAAATACACACAGGGAAAAAGGGTACTACTTGGGTACCTATCCTATAAGCCCTCAAACCCAGTTTCCATGTCATTTTCCATTCTTTGCCATTGATTCTCCATTATTGAAGCAATACCCCAAAACCTTCAACCCAAGGGTAGTACTGTGATACCTAGTTGACCCTGAACCCTAAACCCTAAACCCTGAACAGCGGCCAGAAACTGGCCTAGGACATCCTGCAGCTCTTTGAAGACAACATCTTCTCTGGCAACATCTTGATACCTGATCTGGGTGGATGTCAAAATTGTGGTCCCTTTTTGGGTCCCTGTTGTAATACGGCATCTAATATTTAGGGTACCCAAAAAGGGACCATAATTTTGACAACCACCCAATTGGGTGTTTCTGAAACGGAATGAAACGAGGTTCGCCTGTTGAATGCAATGTTAATTCACCTAACATGCCTGTTAAATGCAACATTCATTCACCTAGCTTCTTTCTTGCAGGCCTCAGAAGCTGTAACTTACTATTACGAGGGCTCCCAAAACGAATTCTGCGAACCCCCCATTTGGAGCCTCTCTACAAATGCAAAAAGCATTGGGAACAGATGCACATGGGGAAAACCTAGTCTTTCAAGTCATTCAAGTCTATCCAAGATACTCCATGGACCTCATGAAATGGATAAGCTTCAACATAGGTTCACGCAGGCTTCCATGGAATTGCTTGCGCTCATGGCCATCCATGTCAGCGTCCTTGTGCAGGAGGACAGCTGCCACAGAAGCTGCAAGATCTCCATACTTTTGGGAGAAAAGCATACCGCCGTATTCTCCAGTCCGGAACGCACGCTGAACGGCCTCGACGTATGCCGCCGAAGGGTTTGACGTGCCAAATCGCTGGATCAGGCGCTTGCTGATAAAAATGGCAGTGTTCTCGTGCATGAACAGTTGGTCCAACAGCGTCTCAATCTCCGCCAGAACGGCGGCATACGACTGCCTGGTTCCTTGGCCCTTCAAGAACACCGGTGGGTTACGGAACGATGGCCCGGCTGCAGTGTGCACCGTGCTCATGCTGTTCTTGTAGTACTGCCCATCAACTTTGAAGATTGTCTTCTCCGTAATGGCTGGCCCTTCCCCAGGCAGATGGAACACTTCGACGTCACCACCACATGCGGTGCAGCTCACGTTGGGCTCGTGCGCGCCAGCAAAAAGCTGCTTGATGCAATCATCTTTGCAAGGAACTTCAGTGAAGACGGGGCCTGTTGTCACCCTTGCGAAGTGAAGTCCCACAGGAGGCGTGCCCCCAACCCATGAAACTGCAAAGGTGTTGGCTTCAACACCGTCCGCGCTGACCTTCCCATCCTCATGGACGATGACATGAGCATAGCAAATGGGTGAATAGTCTCCACCCTTGGTTCTGCCCACGGGGTCGGGGTTGAAGTACATGCGTCCTCCCCGATAAGAGCAGCCCTTGGGATACCAAGTCTTCGCCCTCGTGTATGGATTGCCATCATGAGACCCGTAGACTGCGATAATGGCTTGCTCACAGGTTGCCTGATCCTCAATCAATGAGCCTGGAGTACAATACTCGCCCTTTTTCAGAGGGAAATAGCTCAGTGTCTCATTCTGCTTAACTGCCTCGATGTATGGGTAGACACAAGGTGGCGGAGTGTGGACGTACAGCCTTTCACCAATCTTCACAATGCTGACATCAGACGCTGAGCACTCTGCACCGGTGCACGAGAGAGTGCTGCTGAGCACCTTGACTGCAGGATACATGCATTCGCTGCCGACCTTGGAACAGAGCGCGTCGTAGAGTTTTGAGCCTGGGAGAAGCTCCAGAGCATCACCCATATGATCTACAGGATAGACTTCATAACGGGCTCCCTTGGCAAGGAATGTTTGGACTCCTGGCTCTGCGCAGGAGGGCATGAGGTCTCCCAAGTAGCCACCGTAGAGGTCGGGCTTGGGATGAACATCATGCTTCTGCACATTGACCTCAAGGGTTATGGGGATATAGAGGGACCTACAAGGATATATAAGGATATATATTATAGGGTTTAGGGTATAGGGGCCTGAACAATTACCAGTACCTCTGAGTTCGTGTGAGCCCTGGTAGAAATGAGAATTTCAACGAGCTCTTAGGAAAAAGGAAAATAAGCCCTAAACCCTAAACCCTGCTTTCAGGAACTTCCAGTGACAGTCATGGGATCAATCAGGTTGTCATCATCTTCGTTCTCAATGTTGGGCCGGAATGGTCGCTCCTGGAAACCAGTGAACACCTGGTCTGAGCTTTACGGGGCCTGTCATATCATCTCTTCCTTCCCTTCAACCCTTGTAGAAATTATAGTTTCAGATGGTTCTTTGGATTTGACATAGATAACCGAAATTGAAAATTGCTTTCAGGGAACTTCAAGTAATCACCTCATACAACCGCCATCATCACTATGCTTATTGCTGCTTTCTATGCGTCATAGTTCACTGTACTTCTCGCTCTTTGCTATGTCGGTCTAGCTTGGTAGGAGAAAGCACAACGCATCCTGAGACTCCACAAGGACACCTTGGCAAAGTTCACGATGTGCTCCATGCCGTAGGTTGGGATGATGTCTCCATTGGAATCCCTCATGGCGGTGCCATTGCGGTGCAGAAGATCCAACCCTACCTCAGATTTGAACATGAAACCCTAAATCAGAACATTTAGACTTGGAACAACGCGCGACATCATCCTAATGTGGTATAAGATGATACTACTGACGGCTCGGCTTCCCAAATTAATCTCAATGCGCACAACATGTGCAAGAAGCAACCAGAAATTTCAAGGAGGCCTGACCTTGGTGCAGGCTGTTCAGCAAGGTGTAGGGTTCAGGGTTTGTGGCCTAGGGCTTAGGGTTTAGAGGTGGTGGTGACTAGAGCGATTGCTACTCGCCGCACTTGCCCCCGTGGAGCGTCCTGCTGGTTACGCAGGACTGCTGGAGAATGGCTAAGGTGCAGGGGGCTCGTATTAGTATCGGTTACTGTTGCGTCTGACTACTTTGTTGATACTCCATGTCTCCATGTCCACTACTTAAGCCCAGCTACAGAGAAGAGCTGCATGATCTCTCGGGCATAATTCTCGTTGGGGAAGCGGCCATTGTAATCAAAGGATGAACTTCCGGTGTTGGTGAGGTAGCGGCCCATGAGCGGATTGAAGGTCACCTCCAGGCTCCAGGGTGCTCCCTTTCGAGTGACCCTCACCGAGCAAAAAAGAAATCAATGGCCCTGCCCTCAGAACTTTCTGCTGTGATGCCTAAGCTCTGAACGCTACATAACCACCCCAACAATCGTCCCCCTGCACCCTACACCAGAAGCTCGACCTCCCGAAGAACGTCTCGGAAGTTGCCGAAGGCATTACGCACGAAGATGTCCTGGACACATGCTCAGGCCAAACGGCTTGAAAAGGCCAGAATCTGAGGGTTTAGAGTTCAGGGTTGAGGGTTTCTAGCTATAAGGGTTGCTATTTGTAAGACTCATAGGACTCAGAAGGTGCAAGCAGTTTTGGCCTAGGCTAAGCATGACAACACGCAAGGATCATTGGTTGCGGCTACCGGCATGTTGACTCCAAGCGTCATAGTAGTTGAGCCACAGCTCAGTTCGGTCATCCATACCAAAGCCATTGGCACTGACCACAAAGATCTGAGAAAGTGCCCATGCCATACGCTGGCGCAGCTGGTCCTGCAAGCTGGCAGGGTGTGTAAACACCTCTAGGTCCTTGGGGAACTTCCTAGTAAGAATAAAAGTTCTAGCAAAAATAAGAATGTCAGGAATATGTAGTAATAGTAATCACAGGATCCTGTCTATCCAGGATCCTGTATGGCGATAATTCCGGGAGGTACCCAGCAGAATCTACTACGGAATCTACCGGCGATGTGCGGTGCATGCAGGGGACCATGCAAGCAGCAGAAATCCTTGGCAGACAGTGCTTTGGCGGTCCAAACTATGGACTTGGACAACTCATCTGCTTGTCTGTCGAAGAAGTGGTTGTCCAAGTCGCTATCAGCGTGGGACCTGAATCTTTGAACCCTAGGAAATGGCCAGCATGTGGGAAATTCTCCAAAACTAGGCGGCTCCACCCCTCAGATATACCGTGGGGTTTAGGATTTAGGGTTTAGGAACTAACCTACCTCAAATAATCGTTATTCTCAGGATTCTTCAAAAGGGACAGCAATCTTGGCAGATCTCCCCCTCAGGAGCCTGGCCTCGTCGTGTAGAAGCGCAGCTTGTGGCCTTCAGCTCGATATTAGGACAGGGTTTACGGCTTAGGCAGAGGATCTATGTGTTTATGGCACACATAGTGTGGATGGAGGAAATATTGCACCACCTCAAGTAGCCTATAACCCTATCATTACAGGATTTTTGGGATCCTAAGTGGTGCAAGATTCCCTCCAGCCACCGTAGGGTTTAGGCAGAATTTGGCCTTTGGCTGGATCATTGGCAGTCTCGCCAGGTGAGCCGCAGGAGACGCAAAGCGAGGTGCTTGGGGGAGGAGTCTGGAAGACATTCGGAGGCACGATCTCCTGAAGGGATTACAGTAGTACCCCCCCCAAAGGTATTTCCCAAGGTTTAAGGAGCTAATAAGCTATATAGGGCTTAATAAGGCCTAACAGGGTTCTAAATCTGGTTTTAATATAAGGGTGAGGGGATTAATCTGGGAATTCCATGAGATGTTCTATGGCTTACATGGAGGATTACGAGGAGAATGTAGACGTATCTTGACACCCTACCCTCTAAACGCTTGACCGTCCTTGGTGTTGCCACTATCAGGACCCTGCCAGCGGAATTTCACCCCAGCGCCACCACTGCCTTCGTAGTACTCGACGAGCATGGCGTGTCCTGTACTTGGAGGTCTATCGAAACGTGTGTTTTTGTGCTTCTAGGATTTAGATCTTAGGGCTATAAACACTGCTGTTCGGGTTGTAACAGAAACGGCCCCTGCAAGGGATATTGCAAGAAGGCCATGAGAAGATGAGACCCGGTTCCAGCTAAGGGTTCTAGAATCGGGGAGTACAATGCAAGAAAGAAAGAATGAAAAACACACACAGGTTACCACGGCCTCCAGCCGTCAGATTGACCTTGCCGCTCTTCTCTTCCATACCGTGGAAGCCTCCATTCAGCACCACCTTGGGCTTTCTTGGTATGATGCCAATATGACGAATCACTGTGGAAGGGTTCCGGTAAGAAGGGCTGTACCAGTTGCAAGCTATTGTTAAACAGTACTAGCAGCAGCAACAGTGAAGTCGTGTTGGGTAGCAATAGCCATATCAATGGTACAGGTGATAGCAGCGGTTAACAGAAGGACCATAATCAGGCTTACATGAGCTACAGTTTAAAATCCTGGTACCGCCCTTACTAAGCCCTATAAGACTCCCCTACAAAATTCCCTTTCTAGCCCCCCAGAATGAGTTGAGACTAGTAGCTGGCTTACATCATACATCTATAGTCCCCCCTTAAGTAGATAGAATATGGCTTTGGGTATATTATAATAAGATCCCCATATACCCCATATTCTATCTACTTAAGGGGGACTATACTTTTTGGAGAAGCTCCAACCTCCGTGCCATCAAGCTCCAGCCGTGAGCCATCATCCGACTCCAGGAAGAACTGGTACTCACCGGCCTCAGGGAGCTGGCCAGCTGCATACGGATGATACTCAATAAGATCCTACAGGACCGTGGTATAATGATACCCCTGCTGATTTTGGACGTGTGGGGGGATCCGGGATCCCTATACCTCACATCTGTCTGTAGTTGGCATCTCCTTCCTGTTGAAACAAATCACCATGAAGCCCTCCCAAAAAGCGCCGCCCCCTGCCTGCTGGATGGTCAAAGTGCCCGTCCAACGGATGGCGTAGTAGTCCCGCGGAAGCTGATCGTTCCATGCATTGCTGGAGGATGGATGGTTGATCTGTGGGTCCTCTGTTTTTGGGAGAAAAAGAAGTCAGGAGAACTCAAAAGAATGCAAACGCCAAAGGCTGCTGATCTGAGAGTCCAGGAAGGCGAAGGTGGGCTGGCTCAGGGTCTCGCTGATGAACCCCGAAGGGCTGGAGCTGAGGAGATGCACTTCTGCGCGAAGCCCGGGCACCGCGGCCTCACCCGCCCGCATCAGCTAGCACTCCATACTCTGTTTGTACGCTTAACGGTCCCTTAGGGGCCCATACTTCTAACCTTAGATACCAGACGGATGATGAGAACTCTCTTATATTTAAAGGCCTTGCCTGAGCTGGCAGTATCGCAGGTGCTTTGCACGACTCCTCGGTCAGGAAGGTGGGCGGCACACAGAGCCCAGGCACCTGGGCCATAAATCATACTCAATCCTGGCGAAATTTGGGGATTCTATGCCAACATGTTCTCTGCTGCAAAGCTGTATACGAGTATTGTTAGGCGCAGACGTAGACTCAAACCTTCTGATTGCATTGAGGTTTGTATCGTGCTCGTGACAATGCGCTGCCACTCCCTCGACCCGCAACATTAGGACAGCTATTATGCGAGTATGCGACTCTTAAAACTATATGTAGTCCTGGCTTTGGACCCTTATCAACGCCAACCTTACTATTCTCACGGTTATTCCCGTTCTTACTATTATTACTATTCTTACGATTATTACTTACTATTCTTACTATTAAATAGTAGCAGGGCCAAGGCACGGGGCTTTCAGGTGTGTTCTTGTTCAGCTTCACCCGCGGATGGTAAGAGTAAGTGCTCCCATGGACCTGAGATGGCCACTCTCAAAGCTCCTTTCTTTCTGTCCCTGCAAAAGGATGCTCACATTGTGAGGTGGCACAACAAATTTGAGCTTTAAGTCACAAAGGCACACATGAGTGCAAAGATGGGTAGCTTCAAGAAGCAAAGGAGGCATATCCCAAAATGCCAGGAATCCACCCTCCCCCATTTTGGAGAACTGAGTACTTGCTTCAACAGTCAGACCCTTCTCAATTCTCAAGGGGCGTACCTCAATGAGCAATTGTTCGCCATCCGGCACCAGCTGAAGGGCCTAGCGGAGTTGTGAGCCCTCAGAGATTTCCGTGCGCTGTAAGAATTCTGGGCTCTGGCAAGGAGTATAACACTGCCCAGTTGACGGACTGTACAGATGGAGTTTTGGGACTTGCCGCTTCAGCAGAAAATGGTGGTTTTATAGTGGTGTTGGATAGATTTCGGAGATGGGCATAACAAGAAGTGTCATGAATGTTGGGACTCGATGTTTTGCTCAGACCTTTGCTCAGAGCACGTGCTTCAGCTCCTTCAGAGACTGGTCAAGCGTGTTCGACACAATCTGTTGCCTGTACTTCCACTGACTCACTCTCAGCAAAACAAGCTGTCCCAACAAGTCATATGGTTTTCATGATGTTCCCAGCTGAAGCAGAATTTGGCACAGCGCAAGTGTATGGGCCAACATCAGCGTAATTGAGCCCGAAACTCTCTCAACCTGTCGCGCATGCAACAGCCTTTGAAAGGGATGAAGGCTTAGGCGTTTTGTGGCATGTTTACCGACTTCCCCCATTTATGGCTTGAGGATCTCTGCGAATGGCTGCTTTTGCAACTAGAGCTCAACTCTCTAGGTAGACACCCCATAGGGTTGAGGGTACTAGCAGGGCGATTAAAGATTATGAGTACAAGTTGGCTACTAATGGTCATTCGTTAGCCTCTACACCAACCTAGGACGGTTTCTTGAAACCATGCGCCCCCTATAGGGTGCGCCTGGAAGAAAGAGCATCCTGTCTTGAAATCAGAACAGGGGGGACCCGCCAGGTTGAGATACCCTCTGCACCAATGTGCCCGTCCTGGTCAAGTTGGCAGGTAGCAGGCGCAAAGCTTTCCAAGAGCAGCGTGTCAGGTAGGCCTGGTCGCAAGCAGGCCCATCAAAATGTGGGGCCCTTGCAAGGGTCTAAGTTGGGTCAATCCCCCAACCAGTAATAGATACCACAAAAGTTATTGTGGATATATTAAGACTCTGTTAAGTCCATATTAAGGAGCCATTACTATCGGGGGGGATTGACCTAAGGTCTAAAAAGGATTCTTTGAGGCTCCTTCACGGTTCCAGGGGAGATCCATGATGTGCAGTACATTGAGCAGGGGTAACATACATGCTCCGGTCCATTTTGAACATCAACCTATACTGACGCTGAAGCTTTCTGATGCATCAGAAGGAGATGCAAAAGCCCTAAACTGTAAACCTTGAACCCTAAACTCCAAACCTGTAATTGGAAGCGTAAACCGTAAACCCAAAGCTCCCTAAGCCCTCAGCCCCTAAACCCTAAACAGCCTGCTTTGAAGGGCAACGGAGTAGACGTCACTTTGGACTGGTCCAACCTCGGCAGCACACTGGTGCTTAAGGGGTTTAGGACTCCTTGGGGTTAATATAGGGGTCATATCGGGACACTGGAAAATAAAATGGAAACTACTGTTTAGGGCTTGGGGTTTAGGTTGCGCCCTGCCCCCACCCATTAAGAGTCTGTCACAAGGGTCATATTAAGGGCTCTATATAAGTATATTCTAAAAATCATCCAGCTGTCAATGAGTGGGGGCAGTGCCCAAGGTTTAGAACTTCAGGGTTTAGGGCTCAGGGTGGGGAGTGGATGCTTATCATAATCCCTAGATAATCCCTTCGTATACCTCTATAGCAGTCCCTGCAATCACTCCACTGACTCCCTCTTATTACGAACCCAGTAAGAGTATGTTCAATATACAAGATCAAACTATACCCAAAAGTCTATATTCGGGACCAGAGTATCCCAAAATAAGGTACTACTCAGGCCAAGCTGTCAGCTCCAAGTCATTTCAGTAATGGGGATTTCTCTACAGCACAGTGCTTCCTCTGTGGATATTATTGTTCTGATGATGTGTTTCGTTTACAAACTCTCACGGTGGCTTCTTGTTAAGAACCCTAAACGCTAAACCCTTAACCCAACCTTAAACCCTAAACCAGCTCTCCACTGGATGGGACAGCGGCTGTGCCCTCCGAGAACCTCCAATCACAGCATGCTTGAAGCACTGCCCCCGGCTCTGCCACCACATATGTTTCCCAAAATTCGGGCTACCTTGTGGGGGGCCCCCATTATAAGGATTGTACTATATTGGGGTCTATATCCGGGTCCCTGAATTATAGAACCTACCATATCTCAACTGATGGTGTCCCTCCAGTGCCAATGAGGTTTCTTGATAGCCGACCAGGCTTCCTAATCCTAATCAAGAAGTTCCGTGAAGTGAGACTACTAGATAGAATTGAATGCTCAGGAAGCGGCAAGTACAGTGCAGGATTTGGCATGTTCGTCTTTGGGACTCGCCAGCTGCAGTCCTTGTCAGTTGAAAGATGTACATCGCCGCCGATACCTTCTTCCACATAGCAGAAGTAGCCGGTGTAGTTACCAAGACCTCAGTAGCCAAGCACCGCAAAAAAAGACCTCACGGTTCACCTACCTACTACTATTACTATTATACGTACTGTTACTATGATCATACTACTCTTTTTCGTTGTTACTATTACTGTTTTGCATCCGGGGTACCACTCCAGCGGGAGGCCAGGAGGCCGGTGCGGATGTCTGAGCGGAAGTTGCCTTCCCGGGGACAAGCCACGGGCAGTTGTTCGCTTCAGATGCTTCAGTTCCGATCTTGGTACTGGAGCTTTCATTTTAGAACGATGCGCTTGCTGGACAAAATCTGCAACACAAGCTCTGCCTGCCTGCCACAGAGATCTTGCCGCCTGACACCTGGACTTGCTTCCGGTTGTCGCTGAGCGTAAAGGCATAAGCCCGCCAGCGTGATCCCGGGGTGCAGGGAGAGTAGGGCGTGAAGTCACTCTGGCCGTCCACGGCAGCATTGTAGAAGGGGTTCACACGCTCGCGGTAGTACTCGCGCAGAGACTCCACGGGCACATTCATCTGCTCAAGGATCCAGTCCGCATGGCTTGTTTGACCTCACAGGCAAGAAAAAAAGCAGCCTGCAAAACACGTGAACTGGAACTTGAGGCAGCTTGCACTTGAGATCCAAGGCGCTGAGGTCTGCCAGCGCTTGGCGGGTGGGGCCGAAAGTAGCCTGAGCGGTGGAACGTGGAGTACATGGAGTGAAGGCGTATTCCTAGCTGGAATTGAGGTCTAGATTGGGTTAAAGGGTATATAGAACGTGACAATCCCGACCGTAGACCATAGACATATGTACACCCACCAAAACCCTATTGCAAGCCAGCAATGAGATGCTTTCCAACATCTCCTGCCCAGTAGGAAGTAGGAAGGCTTAAGGAACCCGTGTCCCCGTAATGGTTTACATGTTGGCCTCCCTGATTTCCATAGGACTCCCACAAGGATCCATTCCGGAATTCCCAGAGTAATCTGGGCCGGCGTGAAAGTCAACACGTTAAGCTACGGAATAGGGCAACCATGCTATCTACTACATATCCCCGGAAGCCTTGTTATTGCACTATAGACTATAGATCCATAACTTTATCCTGGTAACTTAGTTTAAGTTCCCTAAACCCTAAACCCTAAACCGTAACCTCATAACTTTATCCGTATCATTTTCTGGTAACTTTGTTGAACCCCCTAAACCCCAAACCTTAGAACTCAGTCATTGCCGAGCTGCCCTCATCAAGAAGCGAGAATCGGCTCCTCGACTCCGATTCGCTCGCATGCTCGCCATCTCATAGGCCTCGAAGAGCTCCTTGCAGCCACACATCCGCTCAGGGGGGGCATAGAAAGATGTACATAGGGAAGTAGGAGGATGTAAAGGAAGAGAAAGGAACGTATAAGGATATGGGTGGTATACTGCAGTAGGTTGAGTAGCGTTTTGGGTGGCCAAGCTAAGTCACATTATACTTTTCTTCTCTACAACCCAAACTGCATCCCCACTAAAAAGTATCACGTGCATGGGGATTTGCCATGACCCATGCCCCTCATTAAACAATCTCCAAGGGGGACCCTCCATAACCCCCATGCAACTCATCCCTAGAGTACCTCAGGGTTCAAATGGCTTCCATGTAGCATTGCGGGCAAGAAGACTGGCATTGCCTGACGCTTGCAAGTTTATAGTGTCATTTAGTAGTGCATCACAGTCCTCCGTCGACATCTGGGAGATCCTGGAGAGTGTTTCCCTCTGCAAGAAAAGGGAGCCCTGAATGCACTTCTCATCGCGAGCAGTGCAACTTGGCTTGCCCAATGCAAGCGTGCTGAACGCAAGGAAGAAGAGCACAAAAGATGTGCGCTTCATAATTTCACGCTGCTGGGCGGAGTTCAAATGGGAAAGGAACGTACCTAAGCGTCTGGACGAGCCGCAAGGAAGGCAGCAAGCACCAGGTATAAAAGGCAGCTGGCAAATACCAAGCAAGTCATGAACAGAAATGCTTGTGGTGCAAGCGAGGGTCTCTCAAAATTACCCGTGTGTAATCCCTGATAGGGAACCACCCAAAATCACATTGCAATCCCCACATATCCTTAGGGTCCCTCAAGGTAGCGTGCTGGTGAACATACATGTCATGACAACAAGTGTGAGCTTCCAGAAATGTCACAGGATGCAACAAGTAGGAAGAGTATCTCCTTCCAATCATTCTCTAAGTCTATAAGTACAATCTTATATGTGTGATACATCTCGAGACCCCATTCTGATCATGAAGGCCTCTACACCCAAAGCCCACGTATCCCTACAGACCCCGTACACAGCCGATGCATTATAGCCTCTATCGTTCCTCCATACTTCTTTTTCTTGGAGCCTTTTTCCAAGGACCTCGCAGCCAGGCTGAAAACGGCTGTAAGTGCCTCAGGCAGAAAGCTATGGCTGAAGAGTTTAGGGGTTTAGGGTATTTTTGGGGAAGTAATAGGGGTTCAGGGTTTGAGGGTTGAGGGTTTCCATCAGGGGGGCCCAATACAGACCCCAATATACTAACAATCAAACATGGCACGGTTAGCACCATCCCAGTAGCAGCAGGTGGTGATGTTGAGGCTTCCCATGACAGGGATCTCCATATGCCTTACACTAATCGTATACGTTTCTGAATCCGGAAGGGCTCCCCTTTTGCGAACCCCTCATGTCGTGTTGGGTTCGCGTTGTGACCTCGCCATGTGAGAGTAGTCTCATAAGTCACGATGGTAACCATAGCAGTAAGCACCGTAGAGCTGATACCGCCCACGGTCATTCCATGCAGTTTGGTCACGCCAAAATGTAGGCACGATATTATTAATCACCCCTGCAGATCATGATAGCGCTGACAAAGATGAAGATCAGCGTGCTTCCGGCCTAGCAGCTGGCATCGACGTTTGTATTCATTGTATTAGAGCTTCTCACAAGAACACATACATCATCCCAAAGGAGAACATTAGAACAGGTGGTTTTCTCACAGTCGCGATATACGCCTCCACACCATATGAACTATATAGTCTAAACTCCTAGCATCCCCGTTAATAACCCGTATGGTAGTACCCTATATAAACTTCCTCTAGGTTTACACTCTAGCTCATGTTGAGAAAATTGCATCTCGCCCTGGCCTCCCGTCCAGCCAGAACCTTTCCGTCCTTCGTAGCTGCTCAAAAGATGGCAGATGCCCCCAAACCAGCATGAGTCCATGTGGGGTGATACGGTGTATGTCAGGGTACAAAGGGATTTGGGGGGTCTAGGATTCTCTCCACCGAACTAACATGGAAGCAGGTACGGTCCCCTGTACAAGCGACAGAAGTCTTTGTAGGGGTTCTCTTAGGCGTCCAGGTTAGCTTTGGGGAGGGTAGCTTCCAAGCATCAAGGGGGCCTTCGCGAGATCGAAGCCCCCAAATGCCCCGGGGAGACATGGGGATTATAGGGCAGGTTTGGGATGATCCTTGAAGAAAGGGACTACTGTAAGAAACCGACATGAAAGCGTCTCGCATCTGTACAGCATGGGGCTGAAGCTTGGGAGAAGCTATGGCAGGGGTCCGCTCGTTTGTGCGCGTCACCCTTGTAGAGTGGAGCAGGGTGCTAACACTTGTACACACATGTAGGGGTTTCGCAGTACTAGTACCATTACTGTTACTATTACTATGACTGTCACTATTACGATTGCTCATTACTATGTGTTAATTACTAGTTCTGTTACTGTTATATACCCAAGGCATGAACACAAAATGATGCGCAGATGACGGCGGTCGATCTTAAGATCATGCACGCAGCGTAGGCAAATTAAATTCGTGTTCGGGTTACAGGTTTGGGGTTTAGGATCTAGGGTGTACGGTTTAGGGTTGATTAACGTGGCTTTGTTCCAGGCTGGGTCCTTCTTCTGGCAGGATTGCCCAGGAAGTCAGAAGGGAAGCCTGAGTGGTTGTTAGGTGTTTTCCAGGACTCCACTATGTCCTATGCGGTAGCAACCCTCCATAGTGTTCTCTACTGTGCAGGACATTCAGCAGAATAGATTTGTCACGCAGATGTGCTGACTGTTCAGTCTCCTTTCACATGCAAAAGCAAGTGTCCCGTGTACACCGCATCAAGCTGCTAAGCTAGTTTCCCCCAATAAAGGGACCCACTATAGACATCTAAAGACTATGATCCTTGCTTTGGGGGTACCCCTAATATTGGGAAACCTCCATTTAGATGGGCTGTCAGCCTCGGACCTCAACAGTTAGGAAGCCCAGAATGCGCTCCTCATATCCCCGAGATACCTTACGAGACCAGGGAATGACACGGGGTCTCCCTCAAAAAAAACGAATCATTTCGGAGGGACTTCCATGGTGAATTCAGCTGGTACTGGTAGCTGCTTCCTGAACCCTGAACCCCAAATCTGAAACTCCAAACCCCTGACCATGAACCAACAATTAAACTCCAAACCCTGCGCTTACTGGTGGTTCGCAGGGTTATATTCCTATAAGAATTCCACATGACATATTCCCTTCTTCCCGGCAAAACCCAGTAAGACTATGCGAGCTATAGTCTACACTCCTAGTATCCCCCTTAATAACATCTATAACACTCCCCAATATATTCCCCTATAATACCCTTCAAGCAATTTAGACCCTAAACCTTATATGAGCTGGCATTAAAATTACTTGCTTGTGGAATGGTGGAATTCACCTAGGGTGGCCTGTATCATTTTGCAGGTCTTCGAGGTATCATTTTGGGGTATCGTTTTTTAGGGTGCCCCGCATCGTTTTGCAGGGGTTTGAACATCTCTCTACCTATTGAACAACCAACCTTACTACTCTACAACAACGGTAGCCTTGACCCCAGCTCATATAATCAAACCCCTACAAAACCTTAAACCCTATATAACCCCTTTCGATTCAAGGATTGTAGACTATAGCTCATGTGGCTTTCACGCCCGCGGCAGTGCGTGGTCCTTTGGCGTAAACGAAACCAATTCAAACTCGGGCCTCGGCTGGCCAGTACTCTCCTCTAGTAATCGCAATGGTTATAGCAAGAGAAAGAGTAATCGTAATAGTAATAGCAGTAGTAATAGTACTAGTAGCAAATAAAGTCTCACTATGATGACTAGTATGAAACATAAACAATCCAGCCCTCCCCATGAGCAGTAGTAGTTCATAATTTTTGCATCACAATACCATACTCAATGGGAGGTGGTCTATATTCAGTAGATAAGAGGTAATTTGTAGTAGAGGAGTTGGAGGAGTACGGAGGGTATTAACCTACGAAACCCGCAAACCCCAAACACCTAAACCCCAAAACTCTAAACCCCAAAATCTTAAACCTCTAAACCCCAAAACTCTAAACCCCAAAATCCTAAACCCCTGAACCCTAAACCCCCAAATCCCAAAACCCCAAACCCCTAAAATCTGAGATCCGCACTCCAAGATGAGCGGCCCTGCCTTGGTGGAGCTTTGCTTGGAGGATCTGAGATAGGAAGTATAGGGAGATATTAGGGCATATATCTTAGGAGGGTCCCCCACACTGTATAGTGACTACAAGGGATAATAGTATATTCGGGTCCTCTTATTAAAGGGTGAGGGGTCCTCCTAACATATATCATGGTTTCCCCTACTACCCCCCTCTATACTACGCCCCTAAGGTGGCTTAATTGAGGTCAATCAAGGGGGAGGAAGTAGTCTAGAAGGGGGTAGTAGCGGGGGAATCCATGAATATTGGGATATGTAGGGATATATATGTGTGTATAGGGATATGTAGCGGTACATTCATGTATGTAAGGATATGCAGGGATAATGGAGAATCAGATGGAAAAGACGCATGGAGATTGACAGCGAAACTAGGACTATTTTAGTCTACAAGGCTAACCAAACAACCTCGAATCAAATAGTTGATTAAGGACCCTAATCTATGAGAAGTAGCCTTTTGGGAACAACCAGTTTTATGCTGGTTCTCCCGGCTTGTTGTAGTTCTAGCACAGTTGAAGCCACATTGGGCAGCTTGTTAGCTCTAACTTCATGAGACTAACCCAGAACCTCCAAGTAGGGGCTTGTGCCAGTTTAGGGCGTAGGGACAAGGTCTGGCGAGCTTGGCATCTTGAGAGACTACTCATCTTTTGTGCTCCAGCAGTTAGGCATGGGGTCTGGAAGAATTTAAGTTGAATGCTTGGGTCAGAAAACCATAAAATATTCATTTGTGCTTTTGGGCGCCACTCCAACATCTGATGAACATGAAGACCGAAAGTGATAGCAGCACAACAGCCTGACGCAATGAGGACGTTGAATAATGCAATCGAGCAGCGAACGCATGACAAACAAGTCCTACGACTAGGCGGAACATGCTGGCTACACATTGGTAGATTGAATGTGTCGCGATGTCACTCTCCAAAAGGACATGGAAGGTTTGGCTTCATGCGTGCGTATGGGATTGGAATGCCCCCTGCATCTTGAGGATGCAAGCAAGGTTGCGGGTACCAAGTTCATGGTTTATCTACTGTAATGTATCTATAATATACCTATAATATATGCCATAATATACTAGAACATGTACCATAATACTAATGACTGCGGTCTATATGGTCTATTTTGGGGTCCCTAAACTTTAAGCCCTGGCCCCAAATCGATTACGCCAGCCAACCATGTGGGCACCATCTGTCGGTAAACCAAAAGAAGCTGCGCATGGCAGAGATTCAAGAACTCTCACAGGAAACATGTCTGTCTTCGCAAAAGCACACAAAGTCTGTCTGCCAAGCTGTCACGTATACAACATGCCTGAGATGGAATTCAACCTCATCAACTCTGTGTCTCTAGGAAACTACTGTATCCTACTGCAGGGGATCCGTCTAGTGCATTGCCCCGCCTGCATCTGAACAG